CTTAACTGATCGGAACTTTACCACCTTGGATAATGGAAGTAAGAATTTCGCTAATAGTTGTAATAGCGGCCGTGAGTGGCTTCGTAACCTCTGCAAATGGAAAGCCGATTGCTTCAGTGTCGGTTGACCCTGAATTACAACCTGCGAGAGAGTCAGAACTCTTGGTAAGTGAATGAATATGTTTATCTTAAATTCAATTATTCCCCTTGAAAAGATGTATGATTTCGAATCGATCTGAACTGATTTCGTTCGATTAGATATACAATCTACAATGCTCTGTTTGTATAGCTATACTAGCGTAAAGTTGCCTTTGGTAAAAATTTCCGGCACAGCAGATATCATTATTTCTGAGCACAGTTGGCGTGTTTATTCTGCTCGGATGTGCTTCTTTTAAAATTATCGAAACAGTAGTGTGCGTCAGTGAAGTTAACATTTCGCTTTAGAAAATGTTTTCTCAGCTCAACGACCCGTGAAAAATTACATTGTGAATGAAGTGGATGACAGCTTCAATTCATTGATCAATCATCAGTGAAGTACATACCGCAGCCAGGATTAATTGAATGACTTCTTTCCAACAGTTCTATTCGAGTCCTCACGGAATTATTAAATTTGCTCTTCGATCTCGCTTCGACAACTTTTTAACTTAAAATCAAAGAAGCTATCCACATTCAATGGGAGAAACTTTCACCTAATCATCAACTTTATCATGTGGATTTAAAACTTTCCTTGTAAATGCATGCATTGCTCTGTTGCTATTGTTTGTTTTGTCCAATCAGCATTTTGTTACACACTTAAATTCAACTTTGTATTATTCAGAACTAAAGATGGCAGAAGAACTGTCGAAACATGTTTTCAAAAAGTGTCGTTCATTTTCTTAAATTCTAAAACTGGGAGTACAGTCAAGCTTGGAAAGCTTAGAAGCATAAAGAATGCCTTTGTGTTAAAAGCTACCTTCTGTAAATTTAAGTTAATGTTTTTTTTTTGCTTTTTTTGACCGGATTTAATGACTTCACCATCACACCTGCTGAAATAATACATGCTTTTTCTTGGAGACTAAATTACGGGCGGTTGGTCAATATGGGAAATTGGCCACTCGATCGCAGCCCTAAAGCCCACTTAAAAAACCGAACAATCATATGTAAGAATGGTTTTTCCTTTGCTCGGTCGCTCAACGGTATTGTATCTGAATCGCGAAACAACGCACACTAACTCTCCAAGTGTTTTCTTTGTTGATAGGATTATCTCATTAAGTATGGCTACCTCAGCAGCCCCAATCACAGAATCGGAAAAGTGACCACAATGGAAGACTTCAGAGCGGCCGTTAAGAAAATGCAGCGTTTTGCTGGTTACGAGGAGACTGGCGACATCTCCGACCCAAGGACATTAGCGCTTGTGAAACGAAAGAGATGTGGATTGGCAGACTTAGGACCGTCGGACAACGCGAAGAGAAAAAGGCGATGGGCTCATCAAGGAACATCCTGGAAGAAAAACGTGAGTTATTTTCTAGAAGCTTTGTTTCAGTCCTTCGCGAGTATTTCCAGCGTAGGTGGTTTCGGTGACTTCAACGCGGATTTTTCTAGTCTTAATGCTCTTTTTAACTGTAGGAATTTGATTTAACATAGAATGGACCAGATTTGGTTTAAATGATGGTTCAAGCCGACTTGAGAGCGGTTTGTTGGAGTAGTGTTAGGGCACGCCTTACGATGCGCGTAGCGAGCAAGGAGGGTGATCCTCGCGAGTGAAGGGATGGACTCGCGAGGAGAGAACTTTAAAGTGCTCGCCGTTTTGGAATCAAGCAGTCAATTAATGGATCGATTATCCTTCTTTTAACAGTTTCTTACTTACCGGCTCGAAAATCATACACCAGACATCGCCAAAGAAGACGTAGACAAAACAATTGCTAAAGCCGTTGAAATGTGGTCGAACGCGAGCGGTCTAACAATCAAGCGTGAAGACGACCCTGAGGCGACACCTGATATAAAATTAAGTTTTGTGGAAGGTTTCCATGGCGACACCCGGCCAGCCGATGGGCCTGGGGGGGAGCTTGCTCATGCGTTCTTTCCTCTGGGAGGAAAGGGAGAAGAAGATCTCGCTGGCGATGTTCATTTTGATGATGAAGACAAGTTTGCTATCAACGGTGGTGCTGGAGTTGACTTGCTGTGGCTCTCCGTGCATGAACTGGGTCATAGTCTAGGACTGGATCACACTTATCATCCCGCATCTGTCATGTTTGCTTATTATCCGGGATACGTGGAGAAGCTGAAACTAGACAGTGATGACGTAGCTGGAATCCAGGCTCTTTACGGTAAGAAAGAAATAACATCTAAAACTTTCCTCAAAACTTTTAATGCTTTGAACAATTTTACGATAAGGCTTCATTTTCCTCTGGAAGTGAACTATCTGTTATTTCTATAAATAAGCAATGAAGTTCCCTCATCGGATATTCGACCTCATCTTAGTTATTTCGCCCTTATTTTTTCACAGGTCTTCCAGATGTGGTCGCGCCTCAACCAGACCCAACGCCTAAGACTTGCAGTGACGTCAAACTTGATGCCATGGTAACTACAGCTGATAAGAAAACCTACGCCTTCAATGGCCAACATTTCTGGGAAATCAGAGACACAGGTGGTGCCTCTGGCCCTCATGAAATCAAAGCTCATTGGCCCGATCTGGAAGAAAACATCGATGCAGCTTACACAGTGCAAGAACCCTTTGGACACACCATTTTCCTCAAGGATTCTAGGTAATTACTCCGAAACGTTTTTTGAACTCATTTAACTGTTTGTGTTCTGGTTTCTGTCAAGAGCATATGTATCACATCTATAATACTCCGAAAGTTTACGCTGGACAATCTAATTGGTCTGTTGTTTTTTCTACCATTATTTTATTAGATTCTGGGTATACCGCAACAAAGAATATATCCATGGTCCGGCCCAAATCTCGCAACTTAATCTTCCCGATGAGCTTGCCAATGTGGACGCTGCATTCCAGTGGGTACGAAATGGAAAAATCTACTTCTTTAAGGGCTCAAGATACTGGAGATTTAGCAGCACATCTGGTAGTCTACAAATGGATGCTGGATACCCCAGGGATATATCTGTGTGGAGAGGGGTTCCCTACGATATCAATGCGGTATTCCAATGGAAGAACGGCAGGTCATATTTCTTCAAAGGAAACAAATACTACGCTTACGACGATGCAAGAGTGCAGCTCCTGGAGGATAATGAGAACCCCTATCCCAGAGATGTAGCGTCTAACTGGATGGGATGTGTCCGACCGGACGTCGCAATTAGACCAGTGGGGGCTGCTTTTGGTCTGGTGCCAAATGTACTCCTCTTCATGGCATCTTTACTCATAACATGGTTGTTTTAAGTCAAACGCCCTAGAATTAAATTAAAAAAAGAGACGAGCCTTAATTTAAAATTGAACACTACTTTGGCACGCGTCGAAGTAAAGATGGCAGAACTCATGAAAGGAGTCATAAATAGAGGCAGAAAATGAAAAAAACTCTTACAAAGGTTGTTTATATAAATAGTACAATGTACAGTTATATGTTAGTTCCTAATGGAACAATTTCAGTTTTAAGCGTTTCAAACCAAAATATTTATTTAAGTTATTGTTGTGAATATAATTTATTTGATGCAAATATGTTCATGTCGAGACAAAAGTTCATTAAGAGCTGATAAAGCTCAAACAAAATAAACATTGAAGTTTTTAAATATATGCCCATTAATGTTTGTACATTCTTCATGTTGCGAGTACTTTTGGGAATGAATAACTCATTACTAAATAAAAGTTTTTTTCCAAACTCGGAGCTAAAAGTTAAACCTATGAAATATTTCGTCCGTATTTCGACTGGACTTCATCAGTCAATGATATGAATGTTAAAAAGATGAATTTTAAAAAGGTTTTTTTAACGCCTCTTGGGGGTTAGAATTGTGTCATAGATAGCTGCTAATTCGTAACCATTGTCTCTGTTTAACGCCGGTTTCGTAAGTTTAATTTGAATAGCTTCTTTTATCCTGCGTTTGAAGGTGTTAACTTCGGTTAACATTATACAGTGATTTTCAAATGAGCAATCCCCATCAATCTTTTTCGATTCCTATCGCCCGACCAGTTAAGGTTTTTTCATGATAAAATTTACATGACCTCCCTCAAAGCCCCAAAGGCTCTGTAATACGCATATGACACCCCCTCCTCCCTCGTTGGCATTCAGTTGTAGGCCAGTTTTATACTCTCCCCCCTCTTAACTCTGTTTGCGACGACTGACCCCCCTTCCCCCGTTTTCCCTGAAACAATGTGATCTCCCCCGCAAGTCCTCCTGTCTAAAAGCTTACAGTGTTCTTCAGGACTTATCTTGAATACAAATCGTTGATACCTGGGTTTTTAACCTATATGTTGTAACGGAAACGTTTAGGTCAGGAAAACAGTTAGGCTTTGTCTGAACTAAGGCTAACGGTTGTCAATTAATTTACTTTTTTCACTTTTCTCATTTTTCTTCCCGATTATTTGACCCTCTTTCATCAAGAATGGGGTCAAACACTCGCTCTATCGAGTACAATCTTTCTGAACTCTTCTTTCCCGAACAGCAGCCGGCAATCGAGCCTATGGTCATTAGCAACAACTCTGTATTTGTACTGTGCATTTATGTTTTTTGTTCATTATATAGTTACGAGGAAAGGAGAAATTACCACTCCATCGAAATTTGCCGCTATCTGCCGCGCGAAATTTCAACTTGGTGTCGATGCCAGCGTACCTTAAATTGATATTTGCATTAAGAGGCTGGGCAGGTCTAGGAAAGGTACCTTTCGCCGTTTTACCGAAGGCCACCCAATCTATCTCTATTATTCAGAGGTTTATTAGCAATAGATTATTTTTTCGCCGTAGCTGATAAAAATGGTTTTTGTTTTCTTGAAATATAAGGCATGTAGGCATTTCCGCTAAAATTATCGACCGAAGAATCGTGAAATCCGGTGCTGAAGTCATTTTGTAAGGCTAGGTTACATAGCACAGGTATGGCAATGGCGACGTGGCAAGCGAAAAGATAGAAATTTTTGGAAAATTCGTCCAAAATCTTGTCGTTTTAGGATTCATGAGAAATTCTTACTGACGTAAAGTAGTCATGGGCTTATGTAAATGCCCCAAGAAGAAGGTTACCACCCAATTTTGCTTCGAACATCGCGTGAATGTTTGTGAACACTGTCTTGTTTCAAGTCACCCCAGGGTAAGAAACAAGATGCAATATAATGTTTTTAGTTCATATTCAGGAGGAATCATCAAAAATGTGTAGCGATGATGGGTCTTTTAGGGATGATTTGTTTTTCAGTTGTGATATGCAATTGATAAGAGATAATAAGCGGTTTATTTCCATTTAGAACCAGATAAATGTGATTGTTTTTGTTAAACTCGTTTAATTTGCTCTGCATGTGCCATCGACAGTTACGCTCTTGAATATGCATTACATCTATGTACACTTCTGTTAGTACGTTACAAAAAACAAAAAGGATTATGAATAGATTTTACAAGTTAGTTAAACTAAGTTTTGCTGACGTTGATTGTTAATAAGGATTTGGAAGACCCCTAAGATTCCCAAAACCTCAGAAGACAGAGCCACCTTGAAACATCTCTTCGAGCATCAGACATTAAACTATCATGTGTTTCCTTGTTCTTGTAGCATTTCTATAATTTTTGTTTTGCCTCAAGCATAAGGCTATGGTATTATTCCTCATTTTGAAAACATACTAAGATAACATCAGTGGCCTTACAATTTGTAGTTTTCTTAATAATAATATACTTTACTTCTTTGTGATAGCTCTAGCATACTTATTGGAATTATATCTCATTTCTTCTATTTTTTTTCTTACATGATCAAGTGTATTGTGAAGTCATATCTACACTGGCTCCAGGACAGTGATTACAATCCAGTCTGTACTTTGTGTAATGGAAGTTTAGCTGAGGGAGATGTTGTTCGATTAATTTGCTTTGGTGAGTAACCAAGATTTTGGTGTCTTTATTATATTTGTAAATATCATACCAAATGTAGAATACACCTAAATAATTTGCTCTTCTTGCTCTGATAAGCTAGTAGGATATTCCCTTTAGGAATCAATGGGGCCAATTTGATTTATTGTTTTGTTTGATTAAAACTTAAGACATGGCAACTCAGGTACATTGTTGTATCTTTCACGCAAAGTACATGAATATGCATTTTAATCCAAGAAAATGTGAAAGTTTCAGCTGGCAGAGGTAATTTTTCTCAAAAACTTGCTTTGATTTGTTATGTGTATAGTAAGTACATTTCACAAGTGGACATGGATATACCTCTATGTTATCAGAGCTGTAGTGAAAGTTCCTTCTGCATATAAGGTGCATTCTGATTTGTTTTCCCACTGTTAAATCATTTTGGCCTTCAGATAAAACAAGAAACTAACAGGTCCCATGCCGTTGTACTGCTTATAAAGAATTTTCACTTGAAATTGCTTCCTGCCTAAGTGTGATTTGGTTATGCCCTCCTTGATGCTAAGTGGGTCCTACTTCAAACTGAGCCATAAAGCTACATGTTGGGAGGAAGACAAATTCTTGGAGGTTCTTTGTTTCTTTAAAGGGTTTCGCTCACCTTTAAAATAGAAAGTCAAATATTGACTTGCAGGGGATTTGCAAGTTACAAAATGATCACTTATGGTAAACAACAACAAAAGAAAAATTAGAATTTGCTTCTTACCCAACTTGTGGCTTCATACTGCAGTTGGTAGTATCTCCTGACTGGTATCAAGGAGGCACTGACTCAATTCCCTTCAGACTGAGAGCCAAGTATGTTTGTGTTGTTTAGTTTGTGGATATCTTTTTCCAGTGTTTCAGTCTACGCATTTCTCCCTAGATGTATTCCACTGGGCTTGTCTTAACAGCTATGCTGCAAGCCTTCCAACAAACACTGCTCCAGCTGGTTACTCTTGTCCCAACTGCAAGGTGCGTCATGTGTAACAACAATCAAATCTTAATTATGAAGGAGTAGATGCAGATTCTTCTCTCCTTGATTGGAAACACTATGTAAATGTAAATTTGCAAGAGGCAACTCTCAAAGAATCTCAGTGATATGCTGTCTCATATCAAAAAGCAGTATTTACTCTCAGCCAAATGAACAATATAAAATCTCCTGAAACCAGAAACAAGAAGGGTTGCATAACCTTGCATTTACCAAGGCAACAAAGCTGTTTCAATACCCACAAAGAGTTCAACTTACAAAGTTTTCTCTGGCTTTTTTCTCAGTGAACCATAGGTGCAATTTTGTTTGAATAAACTGTGACTTTTCTTCTGCAGTCAACAGTGTTTCCTCCTGAGAATCAAATTTCTCCTGTTGCTGACCAGTTGAGACAGATGTTGGCCACTGCACCATGGGCCCATGTTGGTCTTGGGCTTCCTGTGGTTGGTTCCTTGGTGTTTGTTTTCACTTTTTTTGGTCCTTTTACCACTTGATATAAAAAATGATTGGAACCAATTGTCTGATATTTTACTGATTCTCTTTTTGACTGTGAACTTGCCAGGTACCTTCCACCAGCTCAACAAGCACCACAGCCTCTGAAAGTATCGTGTCAAGACATGAAGCTGATATTGGTAAGTGTTATCAGCAATTGCATTGCTTAATTCAAGGAAATCTCTTCTTTCTCATTGTGTCAAAGCAGCATTCAAATAAGTATTTCTTTGCTTTCTGGAAAGTGTGAGGTCTTATCAAGAGATCTGCAAAGGGTTGAGCACTGATAATAATTCCCATATCAGCAAACCTCTCAAAGACTCATCTCAAATCTTCTCCTGGATAGGAGAATGAAGGTCAGCTCACAGGTGAAAAATTGCATAGATTGGGTACCTTTCAAAGCATGAGCATGTAACTGCCTGGTCATCATCTAACAGGCTATTAAGTAACTTTGTCATAGTTTTGATACAGGGTAACTCTTTTTTTTTTTTTTGGTTTGAAAGCTTCCAAACCAGTTTCATTTTTTAAATTTTCCTCTGCATTTGTCAACAAAACTTAACACAAAGGAAAATTGCAATAAAAATGATGTGAAAATGTTCTAACCGCAAGGTATACTGGTACATATATGATGACAGTTAGTTAAGGTACATGGCCAGGAGAAAATCGAATATCAAAATAACAGAATAGTAGCTTGTGATGGATGTTTCCATTCTCTGCATGCTATTTTGTTTTCATGCACACAATTCTTGACTGAATGAATTGTTAGTTGTCAGGTAAGTTCCATGGGCCAGGTTGTTCAAAATGATTTGAGTGCTACTGAATGTTGAGCATGGACAGGTCAGATGTATTTAACAACAAAAGCTTTAGTAGTGCCTTACCATAATCTTAACTTTTAGAAATCTTTCTTCTTCAGTCACCAGTAGTAACCATGTTCCCTGTATTACTTGATCCATTGTGCAGGAAAAAGATGTCAAATTTTTTTTAAAATTTATATACTGTACATATTTCTCATCAGTTGCTCAAATGTCAGACAGTCAGAGAATGGCACCCACTCATGAAAAAAAAGACCATACCCTAAACTCTACTTCACATACAGCTAGTCAGTCACCTCCATACACCACTCCACTGAGTACTAAAACAGAACTGCGATCAACCAGAGATCATCATGTAGTAGATGTGCGACAACAGAACACTATGGTACCACCCCCACAGCAGTCTTATGCACATGGTGACAAGCCCAGTGAGTTCAACTTTTTTTCCTTAATGTTATTATGATCTTTGTTGATGTAACAGAGGAAGTAGATGTAGCATAGTGTTCCAAGCTGCAGCTTTTTTGTTGCCATGGCATGTAAAACCATTTCAGCAGAAGTTACCAATTTGGTGAACTGCGTTTGGTGATCATTTTGTAAGCTGTTTTAAAATGTTTATTACCTGGTTTGTACTTTAAGCCAAGTGCTAAAGTGAGATAAATATTTGCAAATACCACTGTTGTCGCTCTCAGTGTCACCTTTTTATCCTTGGTTGTCCAAATAATCAACCTTCTGATGCCATGTGGTTTACATTAGTATTGCAAACAGTAGGGCACAAAACAAATGTTTGCTACCTTAACTCTTAAACTCCTAGGAATAATTAACACTGAACTTCTTCCTTTTATGTCCATACATTATTTGGCAAACAGGAAATGAGAATACTCAAAGTCATCAGGTAGAAGTTGTTATCTTGATCTAACACCAAATTCTCATAACTAATTTACAAGCAAATGTTTAGCAGCTAGAGGGGAGGATTAACAATCAAATCTTGGGAGTTATATTGAGTTACAGAAAAGGTTTCATCAGGAGTAAGAAATGATTTAAACTATTTTTACAAGGTTCGCACAGGTCCTGGAAAACCTTTTTATTTTGACATTTTCTAGGACTGTTAGGTCCTGGAAAAAGACTATAGATCCTGGAAAGTCCAGGAAATCTGCTTAACTCAAGCAATAAAGTTTTCAGAATTTACGTTATAAGAAATTTATGTAGACCGTAAGGAGAATTAATTTTGAAATCTTGGGAATGAAAAGGGTTTATGGTGAAATTTGGAGCCCTTAAAAATCAATCTGAGTCCTGGAGAAGTCCTTGAAATTTGTTTTTGAAAAAGGGATAGGAACCCTGTTTTTAGTGACTTTGATGAGATAGGTACGTTGCCACTGTTTTTCAGGCACAGTGTCAAGGAAGATATTCAACACGAAGGAGCCAGTAGACAGTATCCCGTATGATCATGATGAAAATAAATACCAAAGAAGAGGTGCCATCGATTGGTTCACGAGATGGTTTTGGTAAGCAACTTTAGAATTCTTCAAATGATCTTATGGTGAAAATGTTATATCGCAGCCAAGACATTCGTTCCAAGTTGACAAGGATAGTCCTGCTACATGTTGGTTGGAAGGACTGGTAGTAGCAGTGAATTCAGCGCTCCAAGCTGGGAACTTTTTGGTCGCCATTTAGAGTAATAAAAAAATTTAGGCAGCTAAATTTACAAAGAAAGTCGCCCAGTTTGTCGGTCTGTGTTCGTTGGTCTTGAAGCCAGGTGTGATGTTTCTATCTATCTTTGCATGGTCGAAAGTTTAATTGAGAGAACCATTTGCATGCAAGGCAATCAGTGCCTTGTTGTCGTCTTTTATATTAAGATGTGAAAAAGAAAAAAGATCGCGACTGATTGATAATTCAGGCGACTATGTTATGATAAAACATAGGATGTAAATGCTGCCTTTGAAAAGAGTTGCGCTTAGAGCCTTGGTGGCAGGCAATTATCGTGCCGTGAGGAAGAGTATGTAACCGATTGTGATCTAATGTTATATGATTCAGAGTCAAGCTCCTAGTTCATGTATCAGCGCTTTAATGAATCGTTATCAATGTTATACTTTTGCTTTCCAGGTCTCGTCGACCCAAAAAGCCTGGACCTGAGGATCCAAACGCCTCCTTAAAACGAACCACAGTATTGCTGATCCTGTTTGTTCTGGCCTTCACTACTGTTGTGGTGCTTTTTACACGAGTTGGACGGGGAATGGCTGATAAGGACCCGTTTCTTGACCCGATGGCAAATCCCAACATAAGAGTTCAAGGTGGTAGGATAAAAAGCGCATAGGATGCAACTCTCATGTAAAAATAAATGGTCCTTAATCGTGTTCTGTTTAAGAACAGAGAAGAAACGCATGGTCTCTGCTCAAAGGACTCGTTAATAACCGTAAATTTAAGGCCGAGTTTTTAAACAATTAGAATGCGAATGATTTCAAGCTGGCGTCCTGTAGGCAATAAATCCTGAAGGTGCATGTATGTTGTACATTTTTTACCCATGTTTGCAACGTGGAGGTGTTCCCGGCTTCATTTTGTGCGCGCACCGACTTCGAAGGCCGCTGTCGTCTCTGTCCTAGTCACTAGGAGGAGAGGTCCCAGGATGTTAGGAATTTACATATACCCAGAGAGGCTACCTTGTGTTACATTCCCTCTTCTCGTCCACTCTTACGACTCTCGAGTAGTATCGGGTAGAACAAATAATAAAGTACTTCTTAGTTAGAGCAAAAAATTATGAGTGAAAATAAAATTATTAAAGATATATTGCCGTAAGGTATCATTAATTGTTAAGAAATGCAGTGAATTTGCTTTGATTGAAGCCAAGTTCGACAGAGTCGTTTTTAAATTTTACTCCGTAAATTCCCAGCTTGTAATTTCCCCTACAACAGAAATTGTTCAGTATTTATCCAGTTAAGAGTTGTTGAAAGTGTCTACCTTCCCGATCAGAGGGTAATAACTACAGTGTAAGTAATCTGAGAACAATTATTGTTTGATTGTGTTTGATGATCTTCAAAGAATGAAGGGAGAATTTCAGTACTTTTTTAAAAAAAACTGCATGGTAAAACCCGCACACTCAAACATGTCTTTCTTTAAGTCACACTGATTAAGACTGACTCGTTTTTCAATAATTTTATTAAATATTAATTTCTAGCTATTAACATTCTTATTATGGACTCGAAACAGTATTACAAAATTCACGTGAACAAGTTGTTCAGCAGCCTATCGAAGAGCTGTCATCTTCATGCTTTTTCAGTTCTTTAGATACTAAAGCTTCGCTGCCATTTTTCTAAACACTCGCCAATGCGTTTATGTCCACTGTAAGACAGGAACAAAGGTACTCCGATGTTGGCAGTCATCAACTTGTCTTCCGTCGCCCTTGCACTGGTCGACATGACTTCGCGTCTGATGTTTATTGGAAAACAATGTTCTTGTGTTCGGGGGTGGCCCATTTCCACAGAGAACAATTCCTAATTAGCCTAACACCTGAAAAATAAGGTTCCTACTAACGCCGTATTTCCCTTTCTGCACTGTATTTCAGCTAATCAAATGTCATGGAAATTTTTAGCAACTAGACGAATATCTTTAGGTCAGAAATCTCGAAATGAGATGCTGAAAATGATACGGACGATAAAAAGCAACAGGTTATTTGAGAGATTCCTAATGCTTCTGTTTTAAAATGGGGCCAAATGCAATTCCTTGTCTTTGAAAATATATTTTTGATCTCGTGCAAGCAAAATTTCTTTTTACAAAAAATATTTTGTACTTGGCTTCATTTTGAAAGTGAACGAAGAACGCATAATTGGCTTGCGGCGTGTGTTTCTCGAAAAGAGGAGCACAAGGCGAAAATATAAAACATCACTTACCTTAAAAGATGATCAATTTGCTACTTTCGCTTGTTACGTGGTAGTTGCCATCTCTTCTGGTCGAAATTCGAGGAAGACTAACTCAAGAAATATACGACAAACGAATAAACCCATATTAAAAGCTGAAAGAAAATAGAAAATTAAAAACATAAGGCTCATTTTCTGACAAGGAATGATGGGTCATCCAATTTATTTCGATCTTTTAAGGTTTTTATTGGCTGTATCCTCTTACAATTAGATTTTACAAGATTCCAAGGTTCTAGCTCGTCAGAAAAAAAAACTGTCCGTACTCGTGAACAACAACTTCTCTCGAAGGCTCAAACTCAATTCTGGTTTATTGACTTTCCTGCCTAATCTTGGAATTGGAAATTTGGAAAGAGGTAGTGGGTTGAGATAATCATTAACCGTACTGAGGAACAACTGCGTACCGTTTATTCGGGCAAAAAAAACCACCCAGATTCCTGAATACCTATAACACCTGACCGGACCTGAAAAGCTGACGAAGTGTACAAAAATAATACTCTTCCGTGTTTTTCAAAAAGTCTCCTCCCAGAGAGAGAAAGAGATAGGTTCTGTGTGTCCTCTTTCTCCTAGTCTCTCACGTGTGGCAATCTAATAGCATCCATGGCTGAAAAAGTTTCTTACCAACTAAAATTTGTCCTACTATCGTTCCAATGCTTTTCTCGGCTAGGCTATTATAAACAAAACCCAGGATGGAGAGTGTAAAGGATACACAGTGGAGCAACTAGAAAGACAACGAGTGAAAGAAGAGGGTTTAACTGCCATGACTATTAGAAACTTGTATACCTGTCAGCCTTTTGACTAAGATTATTTAAAGATTTTTAGAAAGGCTGAATTGTAGAAAATAATTCAGTGACTCATTGAGCGTGGCCTAGTGGTTAGGGCGCTGCACTTGTAAGCCGGAGGTCCCGGGTTCAAGTCCTCCTCCCTGCCACTGGATGGATTTGTCTTCGGTGGCCCCGAATTCAACTCCTGCACGCTTTGTAAATAGCCAACTGGTCTGCCTCCTACCAGTTGGGGTTTTTAACGAGTTTCTGTTCATTTACGATATTTGTTTCCTTATTTACAGTGTCCCCAATTAGCACAGCAGTGCTAAAATACACTGACACTTAAATAAAGTTATTATTATTATTATTATTATTATTATTGAAACGATGCTTTCTTCAAGAGTCTTCGCGGTTCTTGACATCTGAAAGATATCGGCGGCAAATCATCTTAAGCGGTATGCTTGCACGAACAGGTTCAATAATTTAGGATTTTATAACTGATTAAATCTCAGCTGATATTCCGGTAGATTATGATTATACACGTAACTATGTATATGCATATATACATATATACCTCACGCTCGCTGGGATTTTAAAAAGAAGTCGTATTTGTATGCTATACATACTCCGTCTTTACGCGTCGTGATACTTACCAGGATCACAAAGGTGAACTCGTGAGTCGAGTTCTCAGGCATCTCCACGTCTATGATTGCAACAAAGTCGTTAACTAGGGCGCCAAAAAGAAGTGTAACCAAAAGTAATGATAACGAAGTATATAGCTCTTTTCGGTGAAGCGTAAATCCTCGGATGTTAAACTGCAAAATAAAGCAATCACAACCATAGATTCACGATTTGCCTCCTGATCGAAATTGAAAATTAAAATAATCTCACCACCATGGCACATCTTCACCTGCACCATTGAAAAGTCCAGTAAAGCAATGATATATTTGTTGCTGAACGAGAAGATGGCTAATATTTTCATATGCGTTTTTAATTCAGCCGTGACGTCAAATAAGCGACGAGTCATCAATCTAAGAAGAACCAGAGATTGTCTTCATTCGCGCGCGCAGATGGGCATTTTTGACTAGAATTTAAGGATTAAAAGAAGGAAGCTTTTTGCTTTGATTCTGCATAGAGTTCACAAAATTCTGGAGATAAACAATTTCTCATAAAAATTTTGGTTTTATAATCTTTCTAAACAACTTAACGCAAATTCGTAGGGTAAATTGCGTTGTTCAAAGCCAAACTGAGCAGATATGTTTCGTGGTCATTACATTTAAGGATTCCTTCGTACATGGAATCGGACAATAAAAAGAGCGGTAACCGGCTTGATAACAGCAGGGACAGCTGTATAATCACAGAATGTTAGTATAGTTCCTCAGCAACTGAGCACACGGGCTTTCTCGAGCAAGCGTTCCCCATATGTGAAGACTGGGGTTGAGGCGGATTGAAGGACATAATTCGCGTTGACCAGCGGTAACTCGTCGAAGAATAACATAACAATATGGCGGACGTTTTGATGAATGGGTTTTGGAACCACAGGGAATTGTATAGCTCGTTGCAGATATGTTCTCAGGAATACATTTGCAAGGAGAGAGTAGATGAAGGTAAATTTTTTAATAACACTTCACCAATGATAAGATCTGCCCCGATAGAGCGTTCAATGCAAACATACAGCGTACGCAACCGAATCACCCACATCTCTCCATCTTTCACGTGCCACAATGTTACGGAACTATCTTTGGTTTAGTCTTCGGGAAATCAGACCTGTGTTTAATTGAGATAAACGACGATTCGTTATTTATAATGAGTACATTAATTACAGAATTTTGGATTATCTTTATCTCGCGCGCACGTGGGATGAATGAAGCTGTTGATCTGGTATTGTCTCGCTGTCACATGTACATGTCGCGTGCACGGCATTGAAACAAATATACAAACAAATAAATGAAAGGAACAACAAAGTTAGGGGTACCTAACGGTAAAACGTGTCCTGTTTGCCTTGTGCCGTAGATGGATCCGGTGATTAATTTCTATTAGGAAATTAAAATGACTCTTGAATGAGGATCATATAGGATTCGTTTTTCCTTAGATCAGAGTACATATAAATACTTCAAAGGTGTTTTCTCAGAAATAAAAGTTGATCAAAGTTTCCTGAAATTTCCCCTACCAATCACTGTCCAGGTAGGCCACCAGGCTTGTAAAAGAGTTGTGATTGGCCAAATCAAAATAACCAGTATGCAAGTAATGTATAGGTCTCTGGGATTGTTTAAGAACACAAGGCCATTGTACTTTTTGAGCTGATCCATTGATTTAGGAAAAATTGATCCTATCAAGTTATCAAAATGTACACATGCCTATTCACAACATTTGTGTTGTTCCATGAATTACAGAGTTTGTAGTGAATTGCCGTGGGGTCACCTTTGAATAGGAGTCAAATTAATGAACTTCTTTTCAGCTGCAAGATGTTCTACTGGTACCCCTCTTATGAAATTGCAGTAGTCTTATGAGAGTTAGCATCAAGCTTGTGAAAATATTGATATTTTCTACTTATTGTTTTTTTTTAGATGACATAAAAGACATTATCTGCAAGCTGAACTCTCTTGTCTTTAAAGCAAAGCTACCACATCTCTGGTCAGAGGCTGCCATCATCAAGAGAGTTGTTTATAGAAATGGAAACCAGCACAGAAAGCAATTCTATTTTCAAGGATTGAAAAGGGTACTATCATGATTAAATTGTATATATGAGATAAATACTTTCCATTCCTGCAGTTAAGTTTTGTTCCTCAGCTAAACAGAACTTCTTTCACTTTTCTGTATACATTCTTATTTACAGATTGTTAAAAGTCTGAGCAGGCTGCGAGAAACACAAATTTATAACAAGATGATTGATTTAAGAAACACCTTTCCCAGGTATACAGTCAATCTACAACTTTTAAACAGAATCCTGTTGATTGTTTAAGCCGGCATATGTAGAGTGAAAATGCTGAAAAAACATTCAGAAACATTCTCTGTTTCCTCATTAAAATATATCTCTCATTACTATTCTCATCACTTGGATAATGTGTGGATGGATGGTGTATGGAGATGTTACATATTTAAAAAAAACTTGCACAAGTTAAAGGTTTTAATAAGCAGAAAATGCAGGCGAAGTGTGAAGTTCTCTTTTCTTATAGGCTTTCCAAGAATGGGTTTTTTGTTAAACCACCATCAACCCTTCCTTCTTTTGGATCTGTTGTCAGTATTCTTGGTTGTCTTGTTGGAGCAGCTCAGCTTACATTTCAGGTGCCCTTTCTTTTCTGTCTTTTGTTGAAGAATGCCAAATGTGTTTGTAAGCCTCCTGGATATGTAAAGTCCCCTCAAAATGTTTTTCGAAAAAAAAAAGTATGATGAAAAATCCTTCAGCTGACACATTTTTTTCCACCTATAGGGGGCACAGGTGAATAATTATTATCCATATTGATATTAATTCATTGATTTTTTTGGTTTAATCAACTAAGTTGATAAATAAATGAAAAGTGGCCTCTGTTAAGAGATTGTAAAGCTGAAGTTTCCAGCATGAGCCCACACGTTTGCCATGAGGAAGGGCTAATTCCTTAGGAACTCCTTACAGGGGCCACTTCACACTATCAACTCATTTCATATGCCCAAATTGTGTTGCTAACCCCCTCCCCCCCACTAACCCAGCCCTACAGGTTGTTTAGAAACCTACCCCCTTTATCCCATTGTTTACTCACAGTTATCATTTGAATCACTGATTTTGTGGCTCTGACGACCAGCTCTGGCTAAATTGTTTGACTGGCCAAAATATTAGTTATTGTTAGAGTAATTGTTTTAATTTTTTGTTGTTGAATTTTCCATAGATATTGTCTTTATGCCAACAGGCATTTCTGTATCCTTTCTTCCACTACTTTATTAGATAGTAGAACTTTATGAAATCCTTTTACAACAAGAACTCATTTATGATGAATGATAATGACTGGTCTGCCTGAATTGTTGTTGGTGTTTTTGTTGTTGTTTGATGAAAGTAAAGTTGGATTTATGTGTTTAACATGGTACACTAAAGAATGCTTTGTGACTTGGATTTGTTAGCACATTTGTACCTTAAACAGCCACAGATTCAGTGTAGGTTCTGGATATAGATTGTCAGGAATATCTGTAAAATGTACGAACATGTATGTTGACCCTTTTGAGTGACTGACATCTTATTTCTCCTCACTCCCCTGAATTGCACATTAAGGTCACAAGGATAATAGAAATGTTTGCCACCTAAATAAGCTCTTGATTGTTAAACAAATTCTCCTTGAGGAATATGAAGAATATGCAAACTGATGTTTGTGTTTAGAGTGTTAAAAAAATGATAACAGTGAGGGTAGTAGGAAAGTGTTTAACCCTTTAACTCCCAAGATCTTGACTGTCAATTCTCTCTTCTTGCTGCTACTCAATTCCTTGCAAACTAGTTACGAGAATTTGTTGTAAGATCAAGATAAAAACTTCTTGATGTGTGAGTATTCTCATCAACTGTTTGCTAGAAAACATATGGATGTCATAGGGAGAAGTTACATGTTAGTCACTTCTGGGAGTTAAAGGGTTGAATGGTCCGCTCCAGAATCAAGAAATATGGGGAGTTATGGAAGGAAGTGCAGTTTGCTAAGAGCAATTCCAAAAGAGAACATTGTTAAACTTACACTTTGTGTAAAGAGGGGGGTGATGGAATCCATAAGGTCCAACCCTTAACTGTTGTTAGGTATTCTTGTGCGGAGTTGACCAAAGGCTTTTTTGTAACTTTCCACTTGACGTGTGTTTCAAGTTTAAGTAGGGTGTGGTGAGTATCCATTTGTCTTGATCGCAAGAAGGTACTAATAGCATTGTTTACAATATTGCAATTTACATTTCTTACAAAATCCCTAGTTGCATTTTTTCCTCGACTGATTTTAGGTCAAGGTAAACAGTCTGAAAAAAAAGTTATTTTTCTGTCATTTGGCGCAAAGGTTTTTGATAAAGAGGTCTAAGAGCAGACAACAGAGGCAAGAAATGGCGAGAAGTTAAACACATATTTTATTACAACTTAAATATATATTTGTTACAACTTAAACAGTGTAAGCAATAATGTGAAAACAAAAGTATCTTTGCGCTTAGGAGACATTTTGTGGGTCCGTTTAAGGATACGGGGAAATATATGCTAGGTCCGCATTAGAGTAGCTGTAGAAGCGTTTGTAAATCTATCTGATTTCTGATCTCTCCTTTTAGGGTCTTTTTAAAAGATTTTATGCACTCCTTATCACAGTGTTACGACGTTCTGTTCCCATGGATTAGTCTCTTAGAAAATACGAAGACGGTGAGAATTAGAACGTGGGAAGTGGCCCACCACATTGGTGCTAGATTTTACCCTCAGACTGTCAAAGTGAAAGGCAACTTGAAATAGTAGATGTTTCCATTTTTCTGCACGAGACGAATCTGAATGTCGAGGACTAATGCTCTTAATACCTGTTTCTTGAAATTAGCGGTAAATTTACGAGCCTGAAGCCATATTTAAATCACTATTTAAGGGAATAATAGTGGGTGTCTCAGCTAAGAAAAAGCACTGGCTTTTGTTTTTTTATGGCATGTTTGAGTCTCAAGCCTATCAATATCTCGATCTTGAATGCAAACAGGTTTCTTAAAAATCGCCCTTTCGCGCCTGTAAAGTTACTAAGACTTTCGAGAAAACATTCACTTGAGTACGAAAAATCTCGTAGCTGCAGAAATCTCCCAATTCTTCACTTTTCTGATTTACCTCTTCTAAGTGATTGGCTGAAGGGCTGTAGTTGTTCTCCCTCAACAAATTTCATAAAAGTAAGGC